TGCCAGAAACCGAACAGTATTTATATCATATTTTACCTCTAATACACCACTATGTCCAACTGCCTTGAGCACGCACACGGCATCCGGTGCGTGAGGTGTGTAGCTTACGTAGTTACGTAGTTTACGCAAGCGCCGGAAAGTGATCTCTCGCGCGTATACGTCACTCATTGTTTACACAGTGCACAAACATTGTAGGTACGACGGCTAATCAAAATGGTACTTACTTGCGCTTATCCGGATTGTTCAAACCGACTTAAAACTAAAAGATTACTTTCTCTCGTGCGAACTCATTCGAGAGTGGTGACTTTCCACTTATTCCCAACTTCTGAGCCTGCTCGCCTGAAGTTATGGTTGATTGCTCTTCGGCTGGATATCAACACACCCATTAACATAAACTACGCCAGAGCGCGTACACACCTCACGCACCGGATGCCGTGCACGCGCTCAAAGACAGTTGGACATAGTGGTTTATTATATAAATATGCATAATAGCAGTCGTGTAAATGATTAGAACAGCAGGAAGGTATTTCTCATTCAGAGGAACAGTGTGGTGTTCAAAGCAGCAGTGTGTCATTGGTCACAGTGTGGTTATACAACAGATTAACCTAGTTCTAGATGTAAAATAATAATAGTAGGCCTAATAATGCCCTTTAGTGCATATACATACTTCACAGAAACATTGTCATTTATCTGAAATGAACATCCACCACAATGTCATTTTCACCATGTTTAAAATTATATATTGTGTTTGATAGTATCTGATAGAAATTAACTTTTAAACATTTTAAACCCCTTTGTCTTAAAAAAGCTAATTTGTATAATATTAGAATTAAATAAAAATTATATAATATTTTAAATATAAGAATTATTTATTATGTAATAATTAATTTTAATAATATTGTTTAGTTTATAATAAATTAATATTCTCAGAGTTTTTGGAAAAATTATAGCTTGACACACAAAATAATTCTGCTCATTGACACTGTCGTCTAACCAAGCACTAACTTTATTGATTATTTTACAAAGGATTTACATTTAAAAAATATGCTTTTCTTTTGAACTTTCTATTCTTTAAAGAGTCCTGAAAAAAATGGATCATGTTTCCCACAAAGTATTAAGTAGCACATCTGGTTTTTCAACACTGATATATATAAGAAATATTTATTGAGCGGCAAATCAGCATATTAGAATGATTTCTGAAGGATCAAGTGACACTGAAGACTGGAGTAATGATGCTGAAAATTCAGCTTTGACATCACAGGAAAAAATTACATTTTAAAAATATATCAATACATATAATACATATTTGAAATTCTAATAATATTTCACAATATTACTGTTTTACTGTATTTTTGATCACACAAACGTATCCTTTAAAAAAAATTCCCATAATCTTTGATCTGATCAAAACGTCACATCCTCAGAATGCATATGATAAAATAACGATGACATGCAGCCCTGCTTTATCTTCCTGCTCCTCTACATCTGTCTCTCTGTCTGTGTCTCACCCTTTCTCATTCTTGTCTTTCTCTCACCTTCGCTATAGCATAAAAAGCCTTTGCTGACTCCAGCTCCTCGGGGAAACTGTCACTCTCACGTGTGTCTCTTTGCTCTGTCATTACATTTACATTACATTTAGTCATTTTGCAGATGCTTTTATCCAAAGCGACTTACAATTGGGGGATACATAAAGCGATTCTTCTTAAAGAAGCAAACAGATACAGGAAGTGCTTGTAATACCAAGTTTCTAGACATTGTTCAAATAAGTACAAGCTAGAAAGAGAAGGAATAAATAAAGAGAGAAAAT